GTTATATATTCGATTAAACAAAGATAACAGAATTTCTCAGGGCTTTTATTATGTTAATCTTTGTGAATCTCTACAAATTGGCTTATGGTATGGAAGTTGTTACAGAATGAACGTTTGCATTTTCCCTCCAAATTCAAATGTAGAAGACCTAACTCCCAGTGTGAGAGTATGAGGAGGTGGAGTCTTTAGGAAATAATCAGGATTAGATGAAGTCATGAGGGTAGAGCCCATACAATCATGATAGTGTCTTTATAAGAAGAGGAAGAACCAAGATTGACACATCTCTCCCCTCCCCTCTGTCACATAAGCATTTGGGAAACAAAAGCAAGCCAGGAATAGGACCCTCACCAAGAATGAATCTGCCAGCACCTAAATCACGGGACTTCCCAGCCTCTAGAACTGTGAGAAATGTCTGTTGTATAAGTCATACAGTCTATGATATTTTGTTACAGCAGTCCAAGCTGAAATAAGAGTGATTCCAAATTTATTTGAAAATCGAGTTGTTTCATAATAGTGCATTATGGTGACCTAGTGTTTCATGGAACACACTTTGGAAGACATGGCTCTAATTTAATCTTTTTTTTTTTTATAACTTTTATTTATTTATTTTTATTTGGTGCTGAGGATCGAACCCAGGACCTTGCATGTGCGAGGTGAGCGCTCTACTGCTGAGCCATAACCCCAGCCCCCTAATTTAATGTTAATTTCATCTGGAGGCTGTATATGAATTTGTTACATCATGTAATAGCAGCACATAATGTAATTCTTCTATCAATGTCCAGAAGATTTCAATGTGATTACAGTATAAATATGCATTTCAAATCAGTTTTGGACACGAGGACTGAATTGAAACCTCTGCTCTTTCTTGGGTCTCCATCATATTGGCTTCTGATGGGAATCATGCCACTGGCTCTGCTGGCTGTCTAACTTGCCAACTCACCCTGCTGTTTTGGGGACTTAGCCTCCATAATGACCTGAGCTAAATCCTCATTATCTATCTACCTACATACATACATACCTACCTACTTATCTATTCATCCATCCATCCATCCATCTATCCATTAATCCTATTGGTTCTGTTTATCTGTAGAACCCTAACACAGTATTAATGTAATTAAACAAAAATACCCCTCAAAGACCTACTACTTCAGCAAGAAAATTCCCTTTTGAAAGACTTAGCTTTGTAGAATTAATATAGGATCATGGATTTTTATTGACTAGAGAGAAATCAAATTGAAGGTTAAAAAATTCCATTGCTGAGATACTAGCAATTTCTGATAGGTATATTTTGCTTTATAGTTCTAGTACAATGAGTAGCATTGCTGAAATTAATTAATTTATTATTATTATTATTATTATTAGGCACTGGGGATCAAACCCAGGGCTTACACATACACTAGCAAGCACTTTACCACTGAACTATACCTCCAACCTCCAGAAATTAATTTTTTTAGTGCAACAAATTTGATGGTATTGGTGAGAATAAAGATAATCAAAAGGCTTTGTAAACTAGTGCTGTTATGATAATGCAAACTAGGAGATATCTAGGGCAATTAAAAGTGACAGAATTTATCTATGGAAAGAAGGAAGCTCCTTTCATCTTCTTGTACAAAGAGATGAGCTTCAATATTCAGCATTGACTGTGGGTCCAGCTTTTTATCTCTGCCCAGTAACTCTACCCTACTGGTCTTTTCTGCTCTCATATGCTTCTTCCCAGCATCAGTGCTTAAACATAAGCCTTTTCTACCTCTCATTCCACCTCACCCTTGACGTGTCCTGTTTTCTTCTATCCAATAAAGGAAGGAGGGTGGAGATTTGGCTTCTCTGGCAGCCAAACACAGTGATGCTTGCTCCAGGCTCCACCTCCCACATCATCCACCACCCTGTGTGGACTATATTGCTCTTACCCAGAAGCTGTTTTCCCATCCTAGGAGCTGACCTCATTGTTCCTGGGGCTGGAGCCATCTTATAAGGCAACGCTTGCCAGTTTGGGAGTTGATGGCAGTTTTGTGTTTGTGGCACTGAAGGAGTCGGCTTGTCCATTGTCTTTTGTCATAAAGATGTTAACAACCACCTTTCCTCTCCTTTGAGCATGAACATGGCTGAAAGCACAGAAGTGTGACTCGTATGTCACACATGGATATGTATGTAGATTCACTAGTTTAGGAAGCTGCTGTTGTTGATGAGAATTGTCAGTATACAGCTCTGCTTCCTGTTCTTGCAGACCAGCATGACATTTGGCTCAATCGAGCCCCTGTCATGGGTTGCCACACAAACATTGCTTGACTGGTGCTGTCATTTCCTGGCAATGAACAATTATTCCACATTGCCTCAGGATGCTCTCACAGTGTCCCTCTCGTGGCCACTGAACCAGTCCTCAAAAAGCAAATGTACAGCTGGAGTCATGCTTTTGAGGAACACAGGCAGCAACAAAGCCAGTATGGTTTATTGGAAGGACCATCAAATACAGCTCTAGGAGCACAGCTGCAGTATTTTGAAAATAGAGGAACTGGCTCCCACCCCAATCACCATATAGTTGTCACAGCCATACATGGCCTTCTTGTCCCTTCCCCATCTGACGCCATGAAGAGGGGAAGGTAGCAGTGGTGGTTCTTGAATTCCATAATCACTGGCCACATACTATCATCTACTGGATAACACCACATACCCTCACAATTCAGCTAATCAGCTCTCTTGTTAGATTTTTTTCCCCTTAATATGCACCATGTTCTTGGCCATAGGTTCCTTGATTTTCCCTATTATTTTAAAGAACTTAATAGCAAGCAATTCACATTGAATTCTGCATCTTTAGGATAGAATGTTTTACAGTAGTGCAAAACATGTCTCTTCAGATGTACATTGGGAACAGACTTACTACCTTAGCAATTCATCAAGTAGCCAACTAATATTTGCTTACCGTCTACTTTGTATATGTCTTAGGTGCAAGGTGCTCATTGTGAAGGTTCAACAACAGATTATATATTGCTCAGGAAATAAGCATCTTGAAAAGTTGATAAAAGTAGTTATTTCATATTTTAAGTAACAAATGTCTATACAGTACCTGGAACTTTTTAAATAATAGGAATTTAAATGCAACATGAGGATAAAAAGTGAACAATGCCATCCAGACTTTAAGTCTGGGGAGAGCTAGATAAATTATTTAATAATAAATGATGCAGACTTTCCTTATTAGGAGGGGTTACTGAAGCCATTACAGGACACAAAACATTATCCTGATACAGAAACATAAACTTAAACTTATCTTTATCTAGCCATTTGTAGGGGAGAAAGAACCCAAGACTTTATTTTTGGTACTGGGGATTTAATTCAGAGGCACTTTACCACTGAGCTACATTCCCAGGCCTTCCTCCCGCCTTTTTTTTTTTAGACAGGGTCTCACTAAATTGCTGAGCGCCTCCAACTTGGGATCCTCCTGTCTCAACCTCCTGAGTCTAGAGGAATGCACCACAGTGCCTGGCTGAAGACTCTTGAAATAGCTAATTTCCCTCCCCCGAAAGCAGAATCTATGAATAAGAAGAGATTGTGGGATCACAGCTCTAAATTATTTGTTCTGAGCAAGTAACCTTGAAGATGAAAAATTGACTGTAAGGACTAAAGGACTCATGATTTCTAGTGTTTGAACTCTTACATACTACTTTTTTTTTGGTGGTGCTGGGGGTCAAACCCAGGGCCTTGCAAATACTAGGCAAGTACTCTACCAACTGAGCTACATCCCCACCTGTGGGCTGCTTACATAATACTTGATGAGACATCTATTTACCCCAGGATCACCAGGACACCCCTTTTGCAAAATATTGCTTCAGGGCACAACATGCTTTATTTTGTGTAATTTTTCTTTATCTACTGGAAAACCCATGGAGGCCCTGTCTCTCTTCCCCTCCTGTGCAAAATAAAGACAAGAGAACCTATAACTTCACTGGCATTGGAACTCGATTTTTGCTCACACTGCCTCAATTAAACAAGTTCTGAATTTTTTTCCCCCTTGGTGATGAGTGACATTGCCGCGCACCTTAACAGCAGAGAAAGCGATTCTGTGGGCCAATACATTTGTGTCTAGGAGGCGTGGATATCTCCTGCTAACCCTCCTAGCTTCAAACTAGCGGCTTTTAAATTGCTCAGAATTTTAGAAAGCCATAATCTCAGCATATTAAGTATTAAGGGACTCCCTCAGAGTGCCAGAGCCTTAAAGTTACGTTATGCAAATCCGAACGAGCATGTTTCCATGGTGCAGAATAAAAGTTATGGCAGGGCTTTTTTTTTTTTTTTTTTGAAGCAGCATACTATAAACGTCACTCATGCCACTGTCTTTCACAAGGGCTCACTTGCTGTGAAATATTTTGAAAACAGAGACAAAGTGGAGATAACGCAGAGCGCAAACAGGCAGAAATGAGTAAACCGAGCTTGGCTGCTCCCGAAGAGGAAAAGGGACGCTCTGGAAATCTGAAGGAAAAAAACACGCGGCCCGCTGTTCGGGGACCTCTGTTTCCCTCGTCCCTCGAGCTGGGGGGGGCTCCCCCAGGAGAAGGAAGCAGCCCCCCCAAACCAGCTTCCGGACTGCAGCTTCTCTCCTCACACCTCCAGGGAGCAGTGCCGTCTCAGGCCACAATTCTCTGCGACCCAAAAATAACTACACAGATGCAAGGAAAAGGGCCAAAGCCCGCGGCACAGGGCGGTGCTTAGTTACAGTCTTATCGCTCACAGCCAGAACGCTGGAAACCTAACCTAGCGCCAGCCTTTTATAGCCAGTCCCTCGAGCCCCGCCTTAGCAACCACTCCTAGCAACGCCTCGCCCTCGCGCTCTGCCGGCTTATCGGCCTCAGTCAGGCCCTTCCTGTTCCCCTCCCCCCACCCGCTCGGCACGGCCGCCAGGGCCACGTGACTTGCCCCTGGGGAAGGGCGGGGCGAGTGGAAACGTGCAGGGCGGGGCGCTGGAAGGCGAGGCCTAGCGTCATCAAGATGCGACCAGATGGTTGTGGCGCTTAGTATTTCAGGGCGTCTGGAGGTTCCGGGACTAGGGAAAATGGCGGGGACTGTGGTGCTGGCGTGGATTCGCGGCCCCGGCTCCGGGTGCAAGGCGGTGCAGTGTACCTCGGACCGGTGTTCCGTACGGGATTTTATCCACGGACACTGCCAAGATCAGGTGAGGATCGCGGTTCCTGGAAGGTAGGGGAAAGGCAGCCTAGGGGCTGGGCTGGGTGCGAACAGGGTCTGTCTCGGGGTAGGTCTTATTCTCTGGGGTTTTGGGTTTGAGACTAAGTTCTCCAGTTTTAAGGTGCATCAAACTAATACTGAGACCTTTTGTGTTTTGAAGGTGGTTGCTTTGCCTCCCCATAGAAAGAGAAAAGAAAAAATGCTAATTATGGGTGTTTATTAGTTCAGCCCTGATTTACACTTTGGTTCGGTTTCTTTATCTGTAAATTAGGTATTTGGACCAGGTGACCTTTAAGGCTCATGTCCTTACATTCATAGGGACGTGCATTGTGTCTGCTAACCACAAAACCCTGTTGAGTTCTTAGAGAAATATGTCCTAGCCAAACCCAGATCAAAAGACCATTGGGGAGCGGAGTGAGTTCATCTAGTCACTGGATTCCTCCAGTCGCTGGTCGGGGCCACCCACTTAAACACTGTACTGTTGAGGGCATGGATTCTTGTCTTATTATTTAGATGTTTTCGTCAATAATTTAATGTTTTTTTTTTTTGTCCATGCATATTTATGAAAACCCATCAAGGACTTGTAAGGTTACCTGTATACCTGTATTCTTTTACTTAATTCCCAAGTAAGCAAGTGTTTATCAATTGTGAAATAATAAATATGTTCATTTATCTAAGAAAATTAGTGGTCCTCTTGAATCTAATTTTAAAATTTTGGCACTTGATCTAGAATTCTGATTATACACCTAATCCATGCTGTTTTTTCCGTTACTTATAAGCTTAACAAATGTTAACACTGCAAACCAAATCTTTAAAACACTAGGTCTTGTTCCATGGAGAAGCAATGTGCGTTTGCAAATAATGTGGTTTTCCAGCTTCCTGCTTTCTTTCTTGTTGCAGTCTAGTCTAAAAACAGCAGAGCTGTTTTGGACCATCTGAATGGGAAAACAATTTTGCAAAATAGTTGGCTTTTAATATACTTGAAAATAACTGATATGAAGTTTCCAAACTTATTACTAACAGTTGATCCAAAGTGGAACCAGAAAAAAAATAGGATCGTAACTCTCAGGAGTGATGGGAATAAGAATTTTAAAATAAGTAGCAAGAAATGGAAATGAATTCTGACAGTTATTTCACAAACATCACTATAGCAAATCTGAATAGAAACAACTTATAAAAGGGTATTTGATGAGATGTTGAAACATAAAAATAGTTCAGGTTCACATCTATGCTTTTTTAGGTGGTAGTATTGGGAATTGAACCCAAGGGCACTTTGCCACTGAGTTATGTCCCCTGTCTCTATTTATTTGTTTTTTAAATTCCAAGACCAGGTCTTGCTAATTTGTAGAAGTTTACCTTGAACTTTCCATCCTCCTGCTTCAGTCACTGGGATTCTAGGTATGCACCATCATGCCTGACCCACGCCTATGCTTTTAAAAACAAAAGTGTTCTGAAATTAGAAAATTAGTGTTAGTTCCCACTGAGAAAATTAAAATCTGTCCTGTTTTCATCAGGCATAACAGACACAGATAAAGCCATTTGCAAAGTTAATAGAAAACAGTGTTTTTCCCAAAGACATGCTACAACGGTAAAATTTTATAAACACCTCCTTAAAAATCTTGTCTTATTCACTGGGAAAACTTAGTCAAATAAATCATAGATGGATTTAAAAACTCCACTGTTTAAAATTATATCAGTGATAATGAAATATTCTACCCTTGCCTTGATGGTCTAAGTCTCTTTGATACAGAGAAGTACTCTTGATTTTCAAACCAGGTGCAGAGCTTCTGATTAGGAGCTTCTGGACACAACATTCCATATCTATCTTAAATAGAGGAAAGAGGAAACTGGGTGTGTTTCACAGTTCAGACCTGATGTTGGCCCTTTTACACATAGAACTGATTTGTTTTAAGCCTGTCAAAACACTGCTTCATTTAAATTCCACCTAACTTCACCCTTGCCCCAGATCCTATTTTTCTTTTATTGGTGAGATATTCCGTGATTCTTTTGGTGTGCAATTCCCCTTTATTGCAGTGAGTCAATAAATTTTACTTGATTGAACTACAGATTTGTCCCTGATGACCCTTGAAGTGTGCTTGATAATACACAGATAGTTAATCAGATAACTCCAAATTTCTTTTCTTTTCTTTTTTTTTTCTAGAGAGACTTACTTGACAAGAATCTTAACAAATAGAAGATTCAGTTTTGGTTAGTTTTCTTTTTTTTTTTTTTGAGAATTTTAATATTTATTTTTTAGTTATAAACGGACACAACATCTTTGTTTGTATGTGGTGCTGAGGATCGAACCCGGGCCACACGCATGCCAGGCGAGCGCGCTACCGCTTGAGCCACATCCCCAGCCCCAGTTTTCTTGTTTAATGAGTAGTTCTGTTTGGAAATGAAGTTTCTGCCTTCACATTAATGTCTTTCAAAGTTATTTAAAATATTAGAAATACCATACCCATTAGATAAAATATTACAAGAAATTAAAGTGACTTTTTAAAAAATAAACATTAAAACAAATATGAGATGCATTACATATTTAACTTTACAACAGTCTTAAAATAGATAGTATCTTACAGATAAGAATGATCTTAAGTTAATCACATCATTGTAGATAGCCTTAGCTCTTTTGCTTCTCTTCCAGGACATCATTTTTAGTTGGGAAAACAAATGCCAAACTACTTAAATCCAGCTGTCCATTTATTCTGCCCAGACATCTGGGCAAGTGCTGTGGTAGGGAAAAATGTAATCTCACAAATACGTTTCACTCAATTTATACCCAGTACTGCTTGGCAGCTATATTTTCCTAATCCAAAGTGGACTTCCAGGACTGCTTAGCATCCTGAACTCTGTAATCACTTGAGCAGCTGGACAGAATCTGGACTTTGCTTGTTTCCCCACGTCACAAATATTTTTTATATATACCATGGTATTAACAGGGTGAGGAAGCCCTGGTTAATTTCATCACTCTCACTCTTATTGGTCCTCTTTCATTTCTTCTCTAAATTTTCAATACTTCCTCTTTGAGGCCCCAACTTTCTGTTCATTGAGGTAGTAAGAAGAGAATTTCCTAATTCTCATACCAGTTCCTTTACCTACCTGCCATGTATTCAGCATTTTCTTCTATTGCTATGGGTGATTTGTCCTCATTATTTCACAAATAATTCATAATTATCTTCTATTCTGCACAACATCTGTCCCCTCAGTTATTAAAGGACTTTTTTTTTAAGCATTAGTTCTCTGTATTTCCATGTTTTTCCTTTTTACTGCTCATTTCTACCAATGTGTAAATATGAGCTCACATCCCTTCAGCTATCACTTCGATTTTCTCTGTTTTTGTTTTTCTTTTCTTTTTTGGTGCTGGAGGTGGAGTCCAGGACTTGGTCCATGCTAGGGAAATGATATCCTCAGTCTCTGGTTTTCTTTATAGAAAAAATTCTTGAAGGTAAACTCTTTTTGAGTTTTCGTTAGGCTTTTGTTCCCCTTACTCCAAACAACTTTCATGCTCATCTCTGTTTTCTATGTTGCCACATCCAGTAATCAGTCTCCAGGTTTCATTGTATTTGGAGCATCAGCATCATTTGGCATAGTTGATCATTACTTTCTCCACACTTTTTTTCAAGCAACTAGTCATCACCTTTAGTTCTCTTCTACTTCACCCCCCTAGGGCCTTGTGCATGCAAGGCAAGCACTCTACCAACTGAATTATCTCCCCAACCCCTCATTGACCTCTCGCTGCTTCCTCCCCATCTCCCTAATCTCTAAACCTTGGAGTTACCAGGGTTTGTTTTTTCTGGTAGATTTCCTCTGACCCAGTGGATTTCATCAGTGTGCTCACAACTTTCATATGTAAATCTCCAGTCCCAATATTCACCTGAACTTCAGATTTGTATATCCATCAGTTTATTTAACATCTCCATTTGCCTAACAGACATAACAACCTGCAACTAATTTTCCCCCCAAAACTTTCTTCTCCATCCTGATAAGTGGCAAATCTATTCTCCCACTTGTCAAACCAAATTTTTATTTCTTTTAATTTCTTAGATTAAAACAAGGTAGATTTTTCTTTCTCATGTGTAAAAGGAGTCAGGCTGTTTGGGTGGCTCCTTGTTACCTGATTGGGCTCTGGACTCCTTATGTCTTATTACTTATATGGCCTTTACCTTAGGGAACAAGTTGGTGCTTCAACTTCTACAGTGACAAAGCAGAAGAACATATATCAAAATTTTGAACTCCTCCCCAGTTCTATTGTTTTCACTTTATCTATCCAGACCATTAGCAAATCTTATTGCCTCTACCTTCAGCGTGTCCTCAATATTTTTATTGCCTTCTGCCACTACCACATTGGCATGAGTAGCTTTCATTTCTCACCTGTATCATCACAGAAATGTCTCACTGATTTATCTTTGTAGCTTTATTTGCAACTCAACATCTAGAGTGGTCCTTTAAAAGCATAACTTTGATCATCGTCCTACTTTGTTCAACACTATGCTATAGTTGTAAAACCCTAAGTTCTTATAATGGATTTTAATGCCTTGACATTCTTGGGCTTATTTCATTCCAGCCATATTTGCCATTTTGCTTTTCCTGGAGTGCTTGAAGCTTATTCCTGCTTCAGATCTTTGTATGTATGAGCCATGCAAATGCTAGTCAAGCACTTTACCTCTGAGCTAATTCTCATCTCTTTAAAATTTTATTTTGAGACAAGGTCTTGCCTGAACTGGCTTTGAACTTGTGGTCCTCCTACCTCAGCCTCCTAAGTAGCTGTGATTACAGGTGTGCTTCTTAGTGCTGTGCCCAGCTTCAGCTCTTTGCATTTGCCTGGTGCCTCTGTCTGGGGTGCTGTTCCCCTAGAAAAGTTCATGGCTTATTTACTCACTTTCTTTACTTCACTGCTCAAATATCGTTGATCAGAGATTTCCTGGACTAGCAATATAAAATAGATCGCCTGTCCCTTTGTCCTGCTTATTATCACTTGACATGATATGTACTTTTTTTTTTCTCATTATTTTTCTTTCCCCACTAGAATGATAGGTCCACGAGGCAGGACTTTATTTGCATAGTATTCCAACACCTGAAAGGTAGTGGACGTATTATAATAATAGAAAATGAGCAGTTAATTAATAGTTGTTGAATGAATGAATAGTTCCTTTAGAATTAATTATATGTAGCTGGCAAGTGGTGCACTTCTTCTCTGGAGGCTAAGACAGGAGGATTGAAAGTTCAAAGCCAGCCTCAGCAATTTAGTGAGGCCCTAAGCAATTTAGCAAAATTTTGTCTTAGAATTAAAAAAGGCCTGGGGATGTAGCTCAAATTGCCCTGGGCTAAATCCCTAGTCACCGCCCTGCCACTGTTTTTTTTTTTTTTTTTTAAAAAGGAATAATTATGTGATTTTTTTTTTTTTTTTAAAGCTCATTTTATTTTCTCTTTTGAGACAGGGTCTCACCAAGTTTCTTAGAGCCTAACTTGCTGAGTCTGACCTTAAACTCACACTCCTTCTACCTCAGCCTCCTGAGCCACTGGGATTATAAGTGTACTACCATGCTCTGCTGTGATATGGTTTAGAATGAGTTATTTGTAGTTTTGCTTCAGGAAGATACAAATAATGCATTTTTTCTTTTCTATTGGTTTTTAGATTTTTTTTCTTTCCTGATGTTGTAGATTCAGCTATATAATTTCTAATTTGATGTAACTTTGAAGAATATTTTGCAGCCTCAGACACTTATGCATATAATATGTATATATACATATACATACATATTTATTATGTGAGATTGATGTATACAGAGTGGGTTTGGGTTTATTTGGGCTATAAGTTGGGGGCATCAGCAGAAGAGACAAACACTGGCTGCCAGGCAGTTCTAAAAATGTTAAAGCTTATATAGATTTATTAAAAACGGTACCTGTCTCTCACTCACCCCCTTCTTATCCCTATCTATACTTTTCAGGATTTATATTTTCAATTTGTGGATCAGTCTTGATGTTAACTTGATTTTACCCATTTTTTAAAATGTCAAAGGACAGAGGACCTCAGAGTTATTGGATCTGAGTCCTGTGGCTCAGGTGACCTATGGGAGAAGAAGAAAGTAGCTTTTGATTTCTACCAAAAAAAGACTACAGGTTTTAGGGCTGGGGATGTGGCTCAAGCGGTAATGCGCTCGCCTGGCATGCGTGGGGCGCTGGGTTCGATCATCAGCACCACATAAAATAAAGATGTTGTGTCCACCAAAAACTGAAAAATAAATATTAAAAATTCAAAACAAAAAGACTACAGGTTTTATATATCACGATTAGATATAATAAATCCATGGATTTTGGGGGGCTGTGCTGGGGATCAAACCCAGGGCCTGTGCATGTTAGCCAACCATTCTACCTCTGAGCTACATCCTAAGCCCTGATTAGGTAATAGTAAGAAAAAAATATCTAGCATGTGTCAAATGCCTTTTTTTCTTTTAGTAATTTTCACTTTCATTTCAACAAATATTGATTGAATATACCATGTGCTTATTATTGAGTAATAAAAAGATAACAGGTTTCTTTCTGTAAGAAAAAGTATTAAAAAGCCTAAATTTGTCTCTAGGATGTTCCAGTGGAATACTTCTTTGTGAAATGCAATGGAGCTCTCGTTAGCACCGATGATACAGTGCAGCATGGAGCTGTTTATAGTTTGGAACCCCGACTTTGTGGTGGGAAAGGAGGTAGGACATGAATGCTGATTACTTAGTTGTCACACATCAGTAGACTTTAGCATTGTTTTGGATTAACAAACTTCTTGGTCTCTGAAGAATGCCAGCGTTGTTTTGCCTTATAAAATCCTTGATTACCTAATTTTGAGTATTTCCTCTTTTGTTCTTTTTGAAGAAGAAATAATTGTATAGTACACGTCACATGTTGAGCCAGATTGCTCTTAGGAACTCAGGTTCTAAAATTTCAGGGAAGATTAGACAAGAAAGATGACCATTAGTCTCTCCCATTTGCTGAAGAAAAGAGCTTTAAAACAGTCAAATCTCCCAATTTTACCTCTCCTTATAGTTGGGAGGGTGACCTAAAGTTGCCTTAAGAAACAACTGTTTGCTGTGGGGGGTAGATTAGGTGAGGATCTGGTTATGCTGTTATGTCTAAGAAGAGAGAAAAGAAAAGAGTCAAACATGTACTTCTTGAGTTTTCTCAAAATCTACAATGATTTGTTTGGTTTTTTAGAGCATTGACATCTCAAAACTGTAATCTTTCAGCTCTTTGAATTTGTATCCATAAGAATGAAATATGTCATCAACCATTTGACAGCTTCAGGTTACCTTTCCTTTTAAACTCATTCAAAAATCTCACTACGTAATTCTTGAATTATTAATCTGGGTATCTTGGGATCTCTAGCATTGGATAAAGCCCTTTGAATATTTCCACTATACAATACAGTATTTTAGAGAAGGTGAAAGGTTTGAAGTTAAATCTGAGTTATTGATCTTTTTGCCTTTGTTGCTTAGGCTAGTACCTTCATGTTTACTTTCTAAAAAAAAAAAAAAAGAGAGAGAAAGGAAACTATAGAGACAGATCACTTTTAATTTAGTGATAGACTTTTTCACAAGTTTCACTTGTAACTTTCTTTGGATATGTTTTATCTTATTCTTCAAATGTATCAACTCAGGTTTTGGATCCATGCTCCGAGCACTTGGTGCTCAGATTGAGAAGACAACCAATCGAGAAGCTTGCCGGGATCTCAGTGGAAGGAGACTACGAGATGTCAATCATGAGAAAGCGTAAGACACCCACCTCTTTTGTTTTAAAGAGAGCAGCATACTTTCACTAGCAAATTACACATATGGCTATGCATATCAGAAATATTTACACTCTCATGGCTGGGGTTGTAGCTCAGTGGTAGAGCTCTTGCCTCATGTGTGAGGCACTGGGTTTGATCTTCGGTGCCCCATATAGATAAATGAATAAAATAAAGATCCACCAACAACTAAAAAAATATATATTTTAAAAATATTTATACTCAGTTATTATCTGATTCAATCTTTTCCATAATTTAATAATTATCTTTGGGGTTTACTTAAGTCCATAACAATATGCTAGCAATAAATATGGCACACTTTTCTGGGGAAATATCACAATCTGAGTAAGATTCTATTGATTCATGTGGAGGGCCTTTTATTTATATAAACGTAGTCACACATTGCTTAACAACGAAAACTTGTTCTGAGAAATGCCTGGTTAGACAAATTTGTTGTACTAGCATTAGAGTATACATGGACAAACCCAGGTGGTATAGGTTGATCACTCGATGCAATCAAAAGATACTTGAGGCTGCTCCTTGCTAAACATGGCACACTGTTTTACAATAAACTTTTTTTTTAACAAATAGAAATATACCTTAAAATAACAGTAGGTACTGGGGTCTAGCTTGGTGGTAGAGCACTCGTCTAGCATGTGCAAGACCCTGGGTTCAATCCCAGCACTAAAAATAAAATAACAATAAATAGTAGAGTACATTAAATACATAAATCAGTAAGTGATTTTTTTATCATCAGAGATTATGTTGTATACGTTATTGTATGTGCTGTCTTTATACCCAACTGGCAGCACCGGTTTGTTCACACCAACACCACCACAGAGAGGTATGTTATGCTTTGTGCTGCAAAGTTACTGGCCTGTTGTGTCATTAGGCAGTAGAAATTTTCAGCTCCACATTACAGTTTTCTGGACCACCGTCATATATGCAATCTGTCATTGAAGGAAACACATGACTATATATAATGTGTCCATTCAATTACATCTCTTTTTCCCCTTCCTCAGAATGGCTGAGTGGGTAAAACAGCAAGCTGAGCGGGAGGCTGAAAAGGAGCAAAAGCGCCTGGAGCGCCTACAGCGGAAGCTTGCAGAACCCAAGCACTGCTTCACCAGCCCCGACTACCAGCAGCAGTGCCATGAGATGGCGGAGCGGCTAGAGGATTCCGTCCTTAAAGGTGAGAATTCCTCAGTGTAGTCCATGACACTCCGGAAGCCTGCAGTTTCAGGGTGCTCCACACTGCACACAGAGAGTCTTCTTAAGCTCTCTTGAGGGTCTTGGCCTTCTGAGAGTCTTCTAAAAGCCTTGGAACCTCTCCCTTTAAAAACAATGTATTTTAACTCTCTTCCAAACAAAACACATACACACACATTGAGCATATTTAACCCCTGAATTCCATGGGCCCCAGGTAAGAACACATTTTATATGTTTGCAGGTTGGGATAAGCCTAGTCTTTGGGAGGTCCAGACCTCATTGTATTTGCTTTCAATTTTAGCTCAAAAAAAAAAAAAAATTGGTGGGGTGTACTGGGGATTGAACCTAGGGATACCTTATCACTGAGCTATATCCTTAATCTTTTTATTTTTAATTTTTTTATTATATATTTTTTCTTTTAGTTATACATGGGCACAATATCTTTATTTGTTTATTTATTTTTATGTGGTGCTGAGGATCGAGCCCAGTGCCTCACATGTGCGAGGCAAGCACTCTTCAATTGAGCCACAATCCCAGCCCTTTATTTTTAATTTTTGAAACAGGGTCTCATTAAGTTGCTGAGGCTGGCCTTGAACTTAAGATCCTCCTATCTCAGCCTCTTCAGTTGCTGGAATCACAGTATGTGCCACTGTGCCTAGCAATATTTTAATTTTTTTAATATTTATTTTTTAGTTATAGGTAAACACAGTACCTTTATTTTATTTTTATGTGGTGCTGAGGGTTGAACCCAGTGCACCACGAATGCCAGGCGAGCGCTCTATCTCTGAGCCACAACCCCAGCCCCTTAAATGGTTTTTAATGAGAATAGTTCTCACTAATTTTTTGACATCCAAAGCATGTGCTAGACCTGTTGTAGGTACAGTTGAATAAAAAGATATCTATCCCTTCAAAAAAAGGTTGTGATGATTGGGCATGGCGATGTATGCCTGTAATCCCCGGTACTCAGAAGCCCGAGGCAGAGGATTGCAGGTTGAGGCTAACCTTGACTGTTTTAGCAAGACCTTGTCTCAAAATAAAATAAAACAGGCTAGAGATGTAATTCAGTGGCAGAACACCCCTGGATGTGATCCCCAGTATGGTAAAAAACAAAGATTGTGATAGAACAGGGGAAGCACAAATGTATGCAAATGACTAACATAAGAGAATAAGTAATTAGATTTGGAAAAGACTAGTTATGAATCTGTCAGCCTTAAGTTACAAATTGGACATTGGTACTTTAAAAAGCTGGTTCCAGAACCAGAACGTTTATTTGAAATCTCTGTGAACTTGAAGCTAGTCTCATTTTAGCCATATGAGATGTGGAGTATATTAAGAAATTTCAATCTAGAATTTTAGATATCAGCTCCTCTTGCAATCCAGATTATATAATTTCTTTAAATTTGGCTTTGATAGTAGAAACTATTAAATTTCTGGTTAGGTATGCAAGCTGCCTCCAGCAAGATGGTATCGGCAGAAATCAGTGAGAATCGGAAGCGGCCCAACAAATCAAATACAGACCAAGGAGCCAGTGCAAAGAAAAGAAAATGTTTTTGGTGAGTGTCTTTCATTTTTATTTCAGATTGATCTTTAAGGACTGACATAATTTATTTCCTTCTTATCTATCCAGTAGATAGAAGCACATTTTTACATAATGTTTGACAGGAGCTTGGAGATTTTCCAGAGTGCTTCAGTCTTCAGGTTTTGGTGATTGTCGCATTGTTCTCACTAGTAAAGCTTTGTGCTCTGAGTACCATTAATGGAACCTCAAGGATAATTTTTTTCCCTTGGAGTGAAACATCAAATAGAGCTTTCTATTTGAATTACTTTTTGATATTGAAAGAGTTGATTTTAAAAATTCCAGCTGAAAGGCAAACTGTATTTCCACTTGCTTCTGTTTTCTGTTTTTTCACTGTTATCATTGAGTTCTTGACTTCTGTCATTTGTAGGTGAAAAGCACACCAACCCTTTTTCAAAACCACCATTCTTCTGATAGTTCTTTTGGCCCTCTGGTTGCCAGCTTGGTTCCCTTGGGCCAAGTTCTAGAAAATGGTGACTGCAAATGGATCTTGCTTCCTTGTCAGTCTCCCCTTTAGGGATGAAGGGATAATTATTAACCACAGGTCATGAACTGTTGAGTTCAGCTGAGAATTCTGTGTGTTCTTTGTGAGATGGGAATTAAATGTTCCTAAAAGAAGAAGTAGTAGCATTACCTGTAATTTAAAAAATTTATTGTGGTTTTTTGAGGTACAGTCCATATACAGCAAATGTGTCTGTTTTGATGGATCAGTTCTGTGGATTTTGAAAAGTATATAATATATAGTCATGTAACCATAACCCCAATCAAGGTAACAGTATTTTCGTCACCCTAAATAATTCCCTGATGCCCCTACAGTTAATTCCCTTCCTCCACTCATAGACTCTCCAACCACTGACCACCAGTGTGATGTTTGTTCTTATAATTTAGGCTTTTCCAGAATGTCATACACTTCAGTGCCTGACTTCTTTTGCTTAATATAGACTTTTTTTTTTTTTCTTTTTTGGTACCTGGATTGAAGCCCCAAGGGGCACTTAACCACTGAGCCACATGCCCAGCTCTTTTTATTTTTTGAGACAGGGTCTCACTACAATGCTTAGGGCCTCATTAAGTTGCTGAGGCTGGCTTTGAACTTGTGATCCTCCTTTCTCAGCCTCCCAAATCACTGGTATTGCAGGCTTACACACCATGCCTGGCTTAACAGATGTTTAAGTATCATCTGTGGTATTATATGTATCGGTAGTTCATTCCTTTTTATTGCCACGTTTCATGGATATGCTACAATTTATTTATCTATTCTTCACTTGATAGATGTCTGGAGATTTTTCCAGTTAAGGGCAATTAGGAATAAAGCACGGATTTTCTTTATTATTTTATTTAATTTTCAACGGTTCAAATTAATGTGAGGAGAGCTTTAAGCAAGATCAGCTTCATTTTAAGAGCTTTACAAGTTTTAAAACAAGATTCTGGAGATGGGGTAGGGATGGGATCCTATTGGATCGTTGGTAGGGTTGGTTCTATCCCCAGATTTTTTTTTTTCCCTTCTATTTATGGCTCTGGAATTTTTTTTTTTTTTTTTCTGAAATTGACCTATTCTCTATCTCAAGCTAGCATAATCAAATAATCTATTTTTTGGAGATCCCACAACTCTTTAAATAGAAGCTATAGGCCTGTTGCAGTGTCACAAGCCTGTAATTCCAGTGACTTGGGAGGCTGAGACAGGGGGATTACAAATTCGAGGCTAGCCTCGATAAATTAGCCAGATCCTGTCTCAGAATAAAAAAGGACCCATTATATAGCTCGTGATAAAGCACCCCTGGGTTCAACTGTCAGTATAGTAAATACATACATACACACAAATAGAAGCTGTAAATAATATCAAACCTTTTTATTCTGACAGGTTGGACATGGAAGGACTAGAGACTGCTGAGGGATCCAGTTCTGAGAGCTCAGATGATGACAGAGAAGAAGCACCTAGTACTTCAGGAATGAGCTTCGCCACTCCAAAAAATGGCAGGGATGCTGTTGAGATGGCAGCCAGATTTCCTAGCACTTCTCAGAGGGAGGAAGAATTGAGTACAGACCTTGGATTATCAGAACAAGTACAGAGTCCAGAGACTGACCCTGGGAAGTTTATTTCAGAAGACTTATTTGCAGACCTGGGAGAGACATCTACCAAGGAGCACAGGGAGAGGATGACAGTTAGAGAAACAGAGACTAAGGAGATAAAGAAAGCAGAATGTCAAGAACTCACAGAAAGGGAAGCAGCTGGTGTTGGACTGAGTAAGAATAAAGGGACAAAAGAAATCACTGATGGAGAAATAGCTGCCAAGGTAGCTCCTGGAGAGGATAGGGAAAACGTCCCCGTTGCCAAACTGGAGGAAAGCCAGTCAGGAAATAGAGTAAGTACTTATTTTGAGTCAATGTCTAGAGCCAAATCCATTTAATCTCCATAATAAGTCATTAATATGAAAATGTGCTTTTTTCCCCCATAAGCTGCGTAGCAAAAGGCATGTTTAATACTAGGAAGTACAGATGATGGAGGAGCTTTGACACACTAGAGGGTTGGTTGTTTTTCTTTTAAGCTCTAGTATTTATACTATTTTGCCACTAGGTGGTGTCTTTAGTGCCATTAGTTTTAAGATGCACATTTTTCACATTTTATCATCTCTGAAGTCAGATGTATAACACACACTGTAGCTTAATTGGTACTCCCCCCCCTCTTTTTTTGTGGTACTGGGGATTGACTACAAAGGTGCTCTACCCCTGAGCCACATCCCCAACTTGTTTTTTAATCTCTCATTTTGAGAAAGGATCTCGCTAAATTGCCCTAGTTGGCCTTGAACTTGTAATCCTCCTGCCTCAGTCTCCCTAGTCTCTGGGATTACAGGTGTGCACCAAATATTATTTTTTGGGTACCAGGGATTGAACTCAGGGGCACTCGACCACTGAGCCATATCCCAGTCCTATTTTGTATTTTATTTAGAGACAGGGTCTCACTGAGTTGCTTAGTGGCCTCACTTTTGCTGGAGGCTGTCTTTGAACTCTTACTCCTTCTGCCTCATCCTCCTGATCTGCTGGGATTGTAGGCGTGGGCCACCGTGCCCAGCTAGGTATTCTTTTTGTTTGCTTTATTATCTTTTTTTAATTTGTTCTAATTATTTATACATGACAGCAGAATGCATTTGGGTTCATTGTACACAAATGGAGCACAGCTTTTCATTTCTCTGGTAGTATATGAAGTAGAGTTGTACCATATGTAAAGTCATACTGTGTACTTAAAGGTAATAATGTCCGTCTCCAACTAGCTATTTTTAATACATATAATAACTAGGATACATTTTGATAAATGGCCCTTTAGTTTTATGTGGTGCTGAGGATCGAACCTGGGCCGCATGCATGCCAGGCGAGCACGCTACCGCTTGAGCCACATCCACAGCCTCAAATTTTTTTCTTTTCTTTTTTTTTTTTTTTTTTTGGTGGTGCTGGGGATTGAACCCAGGGCCTTGTACATGCAAGGCAAGCACTCTACCAACTGAGCTACATCCCCAGCCCGGCTCTTTAGTTTTATATGTGCTTATATTTCCTATCACTAAACTACTTATACAGTTTTTCTTTCCCATATGAGACAATTTGAACAATAATTGTCAACTGGACATAAAGATCTTTCTAATAGAAAATTCCATTCCTTTTAAAATTATCATTAAATCATAGGTCTCACGTTGAGCCTTTTAAAAAATCGTTTTCAGGCAGGGGCTGTAGCTCAGTGTCAAAGCGCTGGCCTACCATGCGTGAGGCACTGGGTTTGATCCTCAACACCACATAAAAGTTAATAAATAAAATAAAGGCATTCTGTCCGTCTACTACTACAAAAAAATTTTTTTAAAAGTTATTTTCAGGGGCTGGGGATGTGGCTCAAGCGGTAGCGCGCTCGCCTGGCATGCGTGCGGCCCGAGTTGGATCCTCAGCACCACATACAAACAAAGATGTTGTGTCCGCCAAAAACTGAAAAATAAAATAAATAAAGTTATTTTCGTTGTTCATACTTTTTTAGAGATAGATAGATGATTATTCTCTATTTTCTTTTCTTTCTTTTTTTTTTTTTAATTATTATTCTCTATTTTCAATGGAATACCTTCCAGCAAAAATCTTTTAATGTTTACTCTGTGGGTTTGCATTTTAGAATAGGAGGAAAATGCTTCTGATTGTCATTTATCTAATCAGAATCTTCCCTTACCCTGCCCCCCAAAATAAGCAAAAATGCATAAATTGCCCTTTCTGTGGATGACACTGAAGTTTTTCATGCTAATGCTTTAATTTGACCTCATCCTATCTCTAGAGTTGTAAGCATGTGGTTTGTTTAGGAATTGAACTTGGGATTTCACGAATGCTAGGCAAGAGCTACATCTTTAGCCCTAGGCATTAATTTTTTTTTTAATATTCTTTTAGTTGTAACTGAACACAATACCTTTATTTTATTTATTTATTTATTTTTATGTGGTGCTGAGGATCAAACCCGGTGCCTCACACATACTAGGCAAGCGCTCTGACACTGAGCTACTACCCCAGCCCAGGCATTTAATTTTCATATTGCATGTATACATTAGAAATTTTTTGTTTTTTTATTTTGTGTTTATCTATTTATTTATTGGTACTTTACCACTGAGCTACATCCCCTGACCTTTTTATTTTATTTATTTTGAGACAGAGTCTTGCTAAGTTGCTCAGGCTGACCTGAAACTCCTAATCCTTCTGCCTCAGCCTCCCAGGTCACTGGGATTACAGGCATGCACCACCAAAACCAGATAACATTAAAAGCTTTATCCTGGCTAAAGTTTTAGAAAAATGAATAAAGGCTTGGTACAGTGGTACACACCTGTAATTCTAGCAGTTTGGGAGGCTGAGATAGGAAATCACAAGTTTGAGGCATTGGCAACTTAGAGCCTATCTCAAAATAAAAAATAAAAAGGGCTACAGATAGTTCAGTTGTAAAGTGCCATTGGATTTGTGTGACTCCCAGTACCAAAAAGAAAGAATGAACCATGGAGTAACATCTAGATGATTATTAAAATTCAGTAATAAGATAATGGCAAATTACATGATAGTTACTTGAAAAATAGTGTAGTTAACAGAAAAATGTTAACTCCTTCAGAAGGTGTTGGATTTAAATATTTTCTTTCTTTTCCCCTCAGGTTCTTGGTCAGGAAACTGTGGATTTGCTGGCATTCAGCTCTGCTGCAGAACTAGAGTTGTTGGGTTTGGAAAAACTCAAGAGTGAACTGATGGCCCTTGGACTGAAGTGTGGGGGGACGCTACAGGAACGGGCAGCAAGACTCTTCTCTGTCCGAGGACTTGCAAAAGAACAGATTGACCCAGCTTTATTCGCCAAGCCTTTGAAAGGAAAAAAGAAATGAAGTTCATCAGAGCTGAATCCCTGTGTGTAGTCTGCTGGATAATCTGCCTAATGTGAATTTGTAGCCATCATTCCCATCAATTAAAAGCTATTTTTAACAACCCAATTCTAACTGTCCCCTTTTTTATTATTGCATTTGTAGAATTAAGTGTGAAACTATCTGGGCCTTCATGTTTTTTTTTTTTTGGCAAGGGTGGAGGTGCTAAGGATTGAACTCAGGGCCCTTTACCATTGAGCTGCACCCCCAACCTTTTTTACTTTTTATTTTGAGAAACAGGGACTCACTCAGTTGCTAAGGCTTGCCTCAAACTTGGGATCCTCCTGCCTAGCCTCCCAAGTTGGTGGGATTGTAGGCATGTGGCACTGTTCCCAGTCTAAGAAGGTTTTTAATAATAAATAATTTGTTAAATAAAGAGCTATTGAGATTTTGGTTAGGAAAGTTATATTTTCAAGGAATTTATTCACGTGGCCCAAGTTGTCAGGTTTGTAGTTTTGTAATAGTCCTTTCTTTCCTTTTATGTCTGTAGGTACTGTGGCGAAAACTACTTTTTCATTCTAATTCTTGTAATTTCCTCTTGTTTGTTTGTTAGTTTTTGTGGCACTGGGATGGAACCCAGGACCTTGCGCATGGTAGGCAAGTGCTCCATCACTGAGGTATCTCCCAGCCCTGATACTGGTAATTTCGGTTCTCTCTTTCCTTATGAGTCCAGCACTAGGGATCTATTAACTTTGTTCATCTGATTTTCCATGAACCAATGTTGGCTTTGTTAGTTTTTCTCAATTGTTTTTGATTTCAATGATTTCTGTTCTTTATTAGTTCCTCTCTTAGTTTAGCTTGGATTTACTTTATTCTTTTTTCTTTAGCTTCCTAAGATAAGCCTTAGATCATTGAGTTGACTTTTTAGTATAAATATTTAATCTAAGTTTTCTATTAAATGCTACTTAAGTTATATCTTGACCATATTAACATTTTTATCATCATCAAGTTTAAGTATTTTGATTTCCTAGAGTTCTTTGACTCATGAATTAGCTAGAAGTGTGTTGTCTAGTTAGCAAATGTTTGTCTCCCTCCCACCCCAAAGATCATATTGGTACTGATTTCTACTTTAATCCCATTGAGATCAGAAAATATCCTCTTTATAGTTTCAGTCCTTTTGGTTTTATCAAGACCTGTTTTATGACCCAGTATTTATTTTATCAATTTTTGCTTTGTAGTCTAGTGTTCTGTAACTGTTTTCCTAATCAAACAATTTTTTGGTGTCAGGGTTAGAACCAGGGCCTTAGGCATGCTAGGCCAGAACTCACTGAGCTTCGCCCCACCCCAGTACTGAACATTTTATCATTGTGAAATTTCCCTCTTTAATCTCTGGTAACACTTTTTGGTTAAAAGTCTACTTTATCTAACGTGAGTGTAGCCACTCCAGCCTTATACTTCACTATTTACAGTGTACTTCTGTACCTTTTTCTATTCATTTACTTACTACCTCTCTGTGTCTATTTTAAAGTGTGTTTCTTACATAAAGCATGTATTAAGGGCTAGCATTTTTTAGTCTATCTCGACCTTTTAATTGGTTTACCATTAAATGTAGTTTCTTTTGGGGGGTATAGCACTAGGGATTGAACCCAGAGGTGCTCAATCGCTGAGCCACATTCCCAGATTGTTTTTTTTAAATGTTGAGCAGGGTCTCACTGAGTTGCTTAGGGCCTCTCTAAGTTGTTGCGGCTGGCTTTGAAGTTACAGTCCTGCCTCAGCCTCCTGAGCCACTGGGATTACAGGAATATACCACTGTGTCCTAGCTAAATGTAATTAGTGGTTTTTTTTTTTTTTTTGGTACCAGGGATTAAACCCATGGGCAGCTAACCACTGAGCCACATCCTAACCTTTTTTTTTTTGTTTTTTTATTTTGAGATAGGGTCTCACTAAATTGCTTAGAGCCTTTTTAAGTTGCTGAAGTTGGTTTTGAACTTGCTTTAGCCTCCCGAGCTGCAGGATTACAGGTGTGCGCTACTGCACCCAGCCAGTTTGATTTAGATCTAACATTTTACTGTCTTTTTTGTTGTTGTTTGGTTGGATTAGTTGGTTGTTTGAGAAGTACATTTAATTTATTGGTGTTTTAGCTGTACTCTGCATAATTATTTTAGTGTTATATTATAAGGATCACAATATATGTTCCTACTTTTTCATTCTGCTAACAGTAAATATGCCATTTCACATAAAATGTAGAATCCTTTAAATCTATAGGTCGATTTATCATCCCTATCTTTTATATTGTAGTTGTCACATGTATTGAATCTATAAACTCTGTAATATAATTTGTGCTTTAAATAATATGTATTTTACTTTTTTAGAGTACATTCTTTTTTTAATACATTTATTTTATGTATGTTTTATGTGGTGCCGAGGATCAAACCCACGGCCTCATACGTTCGAGGCAAGCGCTCTTCCACTGAGCCACAGCCCCAGCCCTTAAATAATATGTATTTTAAAGAAGAGAAAAAAAATTTTTAAATGTACCTTTTTATATTTATCTGCGTATTTACCCTTCTGGAAGGTCTGGTATCATTTCTCTTCAGCCTGAAGAACTTCGTTTCTACCATTTTATGTAGCACAGGGAATAAATTTTGTTCATTTCATCACTTTAAAAATCTTGTTCCATTGTCTTCTAGTCTCTACTGTTTCTGGTGACAAGTCAGTGGTTATTTGAATGATTGCTCCTTTATATAATGTGTCTTTTTCCATGGCTGCCTCCAGCTGTGCCTAGATGCACTTTACTCTGTGTTAATCTTCGAGAGTGCTGAACTTGTTGGCTCTGTAAATTTATGCCATTAATCAAGTTTGGAAGAATTTCAGTGATTATTTCTTAAAATCTTTTTACTATCTTGCATTTTCTGTCTTCTGGGATTTCAGTTACAACTTACAAATATGCTAAACCACTGCATGACAAGGACTCCCTTAAGTCCCCGAGTCTCTGCCTCACCAAATATTTCTGTCTTCAGATTATATAATTTCTGTGATGTAGCCAGGTTGGTGGGTGAAGTCCCTTAAGCCCTAGTTGCCCAACATCTCGTCAAAATGGGCCTGTCTCAGCACCACCACTGTGCTCTTTGGCTAGTGTCTCTAGAGGGTGTGGCCCTGGTCTGAACCTGGTGGCTACAGAGGGCAGCCATGGGATCATCACTGAATTTTGCTTCCCACAACAGGGGATCTGAGAGGCATATTTTACTGGCTGCCACAATGTTTTTCTGTTCCTTAGAATCCTTTTTCTAGCTTGGATATTAAACATTTTCACATTACTTAGGTACCTATTCAAATCTTTAAAAGCACATTCAAAGGGACTGGGTGCAGTGGACTGGATTACACCTGTAAATCCCATCTGCTTGGGAGGCTGAAGTGGGAGTTGAAGTCCAGTCTGGGCAACAAAGGCTGTTAAAAAAAAAAAAAATGCTGGGTGTGGTGGTGCAGGCCTGTAATCCCAGCTGTTTGGAAGTCTGAGGCAGGAGAATTGCAAGTTGGAGCCCAGCGTGGGCAATTTAGCAAGACTTTGTGTCAAAAGGGAAAAAAAAAAATAAAGGGCTGCAGCTGGATCTCAGTGGACTAAAACAAACAAACACACACACACACACACACACACACACACACACACACACACACACTTAAAGGGAAACATTTAGATTTACTGGAAGTTTACTTTGTGAGTTTTTTTTCTCACCCTCAGGGGATTGGGTAGCAGTGCTCAAAGAATTTCTTTTTTATCCTGACAGCATGAGGTTGGCCAGGCAAGAGCCCTTTCCTAATCAACCTAGCTACACTCCTCAGGTTGCCAGAGCTCTAGCTGTGCCCTGCCTTATTTAGCATGGAGTGTGAGCAGCCCTCGCTTTCCTCCCCACAGGCAAATGGATTTGACTAGCAAAGTAAAAAGACTGTAATTCTGGACCTGTCTCTGATAAAATCATGAAGGTATTGACTTAAATTTCATGACACTAGTTATATTTGAACTAGACTATGGGAAAGGGTATTATGGGATCCAGGTGGTCCTGTGTCATACAGGCTGTTGCTCTAAGTCACCCAACTATTGGCCTGTCTCTGGGAAGAAAATCTGATTCAGGCAGTTTTAATCACTGATGATGAAGAAATGATGTGATTTTTTTGTGTGTGTGTGTGTGTGTGTGTGTGGTGCTGGGGGTTGAGTCCAGGGTCTTGTGCATGCAAGGCAAACACTCTCTACCAGCTGAGCTATTTCCGCAGCCCAATTGATGTGAATTTTTAAAAAATGCTTTAAGTGTTAATGTTTTTTCATTCTCTTCTATAATGTGTCCTTTGAAAAAAACTAGATTAATGGTGCTCTATGAAATGAACCTACGCCTCAATCATTCATAGGTTATTGATCCAGTATCCAAGAACTTGGGGATGCACAAATATGGCCCTGGGTTTGATATGTGGATAAACTGAATCAAAATATTTGCAGTGACCTTAAAACAACTTCAGTTTTTCCTGAAATACCGGCCATGTGGTGTGGTGGGCTTTTAGTCAAGGGCTTCAAAGTCACCCATCTGTGTCTAATTTCTGATTTTCCCATTTTCTAATAGTGTTTTTTCACTCCTTATCTTTTCTGACAATCATTTCCCTAGTCTTGCTATTAAATGGGCCATATCTACTTTTTTTTTAGTGCTGGAATTGATCCCAGGGGTGCTTAACCACTGAGCCACATCCTCATACTTTTTTTTTTAAGTTGTAGGTGGACAGCATGCCTTTATTTTATTTGTTTATTTTTATGTGGTGCTGAGGGTCGAACCCAGTGCCTCACATGTGCAAGGCAAGCGCTCTGCCACTGAGCTGCAGCTCCAGCCCATATCTACTTTTAAAATTGTTAGAATTGAGTAAATACTAGTATGTAAGGCTCCAGAGCTCCACTATCTAATAGAAATGTAATGAGAGTCACATATGTAATTTTAAATTTTCTTGTCACATTAAAAAATACAAAGGCTGGCTGGGGATGTGGCTCAAGTGGTTGCATGCTCGCCTGGCATGCATGGGGCACTGGGTTCGATCCTCAGCACCACAGAAAAATAAAATAAAGATATTGTGTCCACCTAAAACTAAAAACT